CGTACTGCATGGAGCACTGGGTGTTATACGCAAACAATGAATCATGGAACACTACATCAAAAAATAAATAGGAAAAAAATAAAATATTAGGATTTTTAGGGAAAAAAAGAATTTAGAAAACAGATACTATGTATATAGAAAATTAAGATGTCATTTCAAATTAGATGTCATTAAAAAAAAGGGGGTATAGTGATATGTTACCCATTTCTTAAAATATCAAGTTAGATCTCTATTTCAAAACTCCAGATGGATTAAAAGCCTAAATGTAAAAATAAAGCTATAAAATTAAAAAAAAAAAAAAAGAGTCATTGTTTCTTGGGACGCCTGGGTGGCTCAGTCGGTTAGGCGTCTGCCTTCGGCTCAGGTCATGATCCCAGGGTCCTGGGATTGAGCCCCGCATCGGGGTCCCTGCTCTGTGGGGAGCCTGCTTCTCCCTCTCCCTCTGCCTGCCACTCCCCCTTCCTTTGCTCTCTCTCTCTGTGTCAAATGAATAAATAAATTCTTAAAAAAAAAGTCTTTCTTGATTTGTCTCTTTTTCCCTTTGCTCATTTGTTTTGTTTCTTAAATCCCACCTATGAGTGAAATCATGTGGAATTTGTCTTTCTCTGAATGACTTATTTCAGGAGAGAAGTGAGTGACCAGGAGGAACCGTAACATTTAATGAGCCACTGGAGAGATTTTTAAAACTTTTAATTTCCTGAGAGTCCTATCCCAGACCTGTGGAATCAGAATCACCCAGAGTGAAGCCACCCTGTGTAGTGTTAAAATCTCCCCAGGTGAATCTGCTGCTCTAATTAAAGGGTGGTATCTGGGGCCATTAACGAGAAGAGCATGTTTAGAGCTTATTCAAGTATGAAGGATTAGAAAAGCCTTCCTACTGCTGGGAAAACTTTAGGCACAGGGGTACTGGACACCCTCCAAAAACTGGGAGAAGCAAATTCTCATGGTGCACATCTAAAGTAAGTCAACTTGTGCTACTTCCTTCCCCACTTGAAGGACTGAAGTCATTTCTCAGAGAGATTTCCGGTTCTTATCTGTGTCTCTTCTGATCATCTGAATGACTATTTTCCCACGTCTCATTGTCACTACTTTGCTGTGATTATTGCTTTTGTGGAAAGAAAGGACTTGTCCTTTGCTTTTCTGCTTCCATGGGTATCTTAAAATAAATGGAACTTAAAATAAATGGAATAAATGGTTAGTATCCACTAACCCTTGTTTTGAACACTAAATGCTTGGGATGGGGTGGTGGGGCATGGAGATTGGGAGGAGGCAGGGCAAGGCAGTAGGATGAACACGGATTCAGTGCCTCATGTGCCTCGGACACTGAGCTGAATCCTGTCACATGCATGACCTTACACAAGCCTCAGCACCGTCCTGTGGGCTAGATGTTATCTCCACTCTGCAAGTAAAAAACAGCAGGATCAGAAAGGGTGAGTGTCTCACCCAAAGCAGTTATGTGCTGGAGGGTTGTGAACTCAGATATCTGTGGGTACAGCAGTCATGCACTTTTTATGAAGCCAGGGTGATTTAGAAGAGCAAGGATTGCACGGAGGATCAGGAGACCCGAGCACAGTCATCTAAACTTTCTGAGCCTCATTTTTTATCATTTACAAAAGAAAGGGCTTGGACTTGATGGTCTCAAAGACCCTATTTCATCTAGGTTTTATTTATTAAAGGATAATTGAAACTCGGAAGCAAGCTAGAAAGAACTCTGCTAAATGACAGCTATTCTCTCAACTTAATAATAATGAAACTACAAACAGCCTGGAATGCAGGAAAAGGCCCCTTGGATTTAATTCCATGTTGAACCATTCTTTGGAACCATTCTAAGAAGCTGGGCTCTTCCTCCATAAGGGCTCTGTCCTCAGATTTCTAGAACTATTTTGTTCAAAGCTCTCAATAAATTTGTGAATGTTTGGCTTGGGCACCCTGGACTTTGAGCTGGTTCAGAGTCTGCCTAGCAGAACACTGCATGGCCTGATTGGCCAGAAGGTGGGAGGGTTGGCTGCCCTCCTTGACCTTGTACATCCTGCTCTCCTTAGTGGGTATCTATTTGACTCCATGGGTCCTAAATCTGCCCTAGCCCTTCCAAAGGCAGCCCTTGATGTTTTCTGCACAGACTATGACCTCCTGGAGAAATGAGTTCTCTAAGTTTATCATCCTGAGCACATTACCCTCTGGCTGGCTGTGGCGGGGTCCCTGCTCCCCTCTCCCCTTTTCAGGCTCAGGCATTTCTGCTTCCCAGACCAATTTCTAAGTTTAAACATGAGGTTTTCCAGCTGTCCTGGGCTCTGCTCCCCCACCCCCATGATCACTCGGGGCACTGTTGTTCTTTTGGAGGATCTGAGCCCTGGCCTCTGTACTGATTCTCACACTGCACACTCCTGCTTTAGGAGTGAGAGAAGGTGTTAGTTTGGGGACAACTTGGTCGCGAAAAATCCACGCTCCAGACTTACTTTCTTTCAGATCTGGCAGAACAGAGATAATTATTCATTCACTGGGCATCATTTGTATGCAAGAGATGACATATGCCATGACCCCATTGGGCAGGGTAATGAGAGTGGTCGGGGTGTGTTATAGGCAGCAACTTTTTGCCTTTTATTGGTGTCTCTGTCCTATCCCGGTGTTAGACCGCCTGCAAGCTGCCACTTGACTTTCCACTTGCAGCAGCGAGCACACAACGTCCAGCTCCGCCCCCCGCCTCCGCCCTTCTCACCGTTAAGGCCCAGGGGTTAACCCCTACGCTCTTAAACAGCAGACTGAAGCTCAGGGCGGGGCGCGTGAGCCCCAGCGAAGGGCTGAGGTGGAGGTGGATGGGGACAAGGAGACTCAGCCCAGAGAGGGACTCACGGTCAGAAATAACATGCAGATTCCTGCTGGGACATGTGTCTGGCTGGGTGCAGATCTCCGAGGGAGTCCCGTTGGGTGCTAGGGCATGTTGGAAGTTTAGGGTGCAGGCTTTGGGAGGATGAAGCAGAGCAGGGTCATCCGGGACTCTGTACCCAGGGACGAGGCTGAAAATAGGAACAGGGCCCAGCCCCGAGGGAATGGGGCGGTAACAAAGTTACAGGAATGCCCTTGGTCACAGAACCCCGTAGGCGAGCAGGCCAGACAACCCTGGGAGCCAAAGGTGGCTTGTCGGAGAGATGGGGGCCTGCCACTGCCCAGCAGCACCGGCTCTGGGGTGGGAAAAACCAAGACGATTCCCGAGACACCTTTGTACCGTCGTACCTCCACCATCATGCCCTGACACCAACACACCTGCTGGTTAGCGGGCCCAGGTGCCACTTGGTGGCAGGGACGGGACACCTCCCAGGGTCCGGTGAGGGCCAAGACGGAGCTGCCTGTCCTCTGGAATCAGACAGCCTCATCAGCTTAGGACAGGCATTCCCACTTGGTTCCAGTCGTAGCTGGCAACGTCTCCCCTAGAGGAGGCGCCCCTCCTTCTGGAAGGGTCTGCGGTCCGTCCCTTCCATCCGCTCCCGTTTGGGAAGCCCGGGCTTTCGGCAGCTTCTCATAAGCCAATGCCTGCAGCCTTTGTCATGCGCTGCTCTTGTGTCCTGTCTCAGCTGGTGGCATCGAAACTTACTTTCTCCGGGGGGAACAGCGCTTTTTAAATATCTTTTAGTCGTCAAATCGTCAAGAGCTACGCTCCGCTGTAGATAAAAGCGTAACCGACCTACCCCGGCCAGGCTCTTTCCCCTTCCCGGGAAAGCTCAGCCCTTCTCCCCCGAGATATGATGCAGCGTGACAGCTGAGCCTGGAACAGCGGGCTCTCTAGAAGTAAGCGGAGTTCTGATCTAACTCACGGTGTGTGGGCATCTTCGTTCTCTGAGTCAGAGCATGCGCACGAAGAGGGGAGGCTGTGTGGGGGTCTCCTGATGTCAGACCTGCGAGCCCCAGCAGCTTAGACTGAGTGGAGGCCTGTTCGCATCCTCCGGCCTCCTGAACATCACAAGTCCCTGTCCAGGGTTCTGGTGCACTTGGGCCGGGAGTTCGGGCCCCATCTTGTTCCACAGCAAAAAGACCTGGAAGACGTTTTGCTATGAGTTTAACAGGGGCGGGGAAATTTCTGACCACAACAAAGCCCCAGACTAAGCATCAGGATTCCCTAAGCGGCGAGGGAAGGTCCTTTAAACCAGCCTCATTTTCTGCATTTTCGGAACTGGGGATTTTCATACATTGGCCAGACGTTTTCTCCGAGGGCTGTTTCTTCCAAAGAAGCTGCTTTTAGGGGCACCAACTTTTGGATCCAAAGAATTTGACCAGATCGGGGTAATTGTCTAGAAAAATACTGTTGGATCCCGAGTCTGGGCAGGGGAGAGGGTTTGATGAAATAGGAAGCTAGAGGGAAGCCTTTGAGAGGGTGGAAGAGGCTTTTCTGAGCATGTTCGTGTTTGTTCCTCGGCAGGTTTTGGCTGGTGATTAAGGAAGATGGACACATGGTCACCGCCCGGCAGGAGCCTCGCCTGGTGCTGGTGTCCATCACCTGTGAGGGAGACTGCCTGATCCTCAGGGCTCCGGGCATGGACCAGCTGGCTTTGCCAAGCAAGCTGCCTTTCTCAAACAAGCTCTATGATTGCAGGTGCTCTGCTTGGGGCCCCTGGGGACCTGATGTGATTTTCCTGTAGGCTCCTGCCTGCACCTGTCTTGCTCCAGTGTGTATAGTAGGTGATGCATTTGGTAAAGGAAATATTTCAGAGAAGCCTGGCCAGGGCTGGGATCGATGCAGTGCTCGGGGGTGAGTGGGTGAGGCAGAGTACTGTTTTAAGGGTCCCTGGGATTTGTTTTACTCAGGTATGGTAAGGCATGCGGAGGGGCAAATGACCGTGATGAAGAAAGACGGACGTTTTCCATATTCGCGGGTCCCTGGGGGTGGGAGGCTTGGCGTGTCATGCGGGACCACACAGAGGAGCAGCAGGGGTGGGCTGGGGTAGGGTGCGGGGTTGGGGAGACGTGGAGGGGGGAGCGAAAGCCTTTTTTTTTTTTTTAAAGATTTTATTTGTTAGAGCGAGAGAGAGAACATGAGCAGTGGGGAGGGGCAGAGGGAAAGGGAGAAGCAGACTCCCTGCTGAGCCAAGCAGGGAGCCCGATGGAGGCTCAATCCCAGGACCCCAAGATGATGACCTGAGCCGAAAGCAAATGCTTAACTGACTGAACCACCCAGGTGCCCCTACAAGAGCCTTTATTGTGGTTTCCACAGGAAGTCCCAGGCAGGGCGGGGTAAACAGCTTCAGGGTTGGCTAGTTTGAGTAATTTCAGTGGGCTCTGGGGCGTAGAGGCTGTCTCTGGGTGCCTGGTACCTGGCCCTGGGCGATTAGGGCCGGGGACAGTGGCCTGGCGGGACAGAGCCCAGAGAGGAGGTGGTGGGGGGTGGGGGCTCTGGATTGGTGGTCGTGCTGTCGAAAGGTGAGTGGTTTCCTATCTGTAGGAATTGATTAGCCCTGGGAGGGGCAGTTCCTTCCACATCAGCAAGGCCCCAGGATGCCAAAGCATCAAGAATACAGGAAACGCAAAAGCATGATTAATACCTATAGAGAGAGGGGATGCCAAGGGCCAATCTTTAGAGTTTGTCTCTGTTTATTCAGGTTGGATGGACTTCTGCTCAGCATCGGCAGCCCCCGAGCCAGGCAGACAAGGCAGTTAGTGGAGACTACCAGCCATATCTCAGGGTTGGGTGAGAAGGCCCTAGAACTTTTCAAGGTGACTGCAGCCTCTCAGGTCTCTGGCCCAAGGCAGATGTAGGAGATTCCCACCCCTGGCCTGGATATGCCTCAGTCCTGGGCTTCCTTTCAGTCTGTAGGACCCCTGCAGGGCCGTCAAATTCCATGGCTCCCCGGGGGTCTTGTCCTGTGCTACGGGGAAGTCCTAGAGGCCTGGGTACCTATCTTCGGGTGCTCTGGATCCCTCTGTAACACCTGAGCATTTTCAGCGTGTGGAGATTGGAGTTGTCCACCGGTCCCAAGCCTCAGAGGAAGGCCACAGATTGCTCCCTGTGCCATGATTGTATGCTTTTTCAAGCAGAATGTCTGAGCTGAAAACCGTCATTCAAGGTTCTGAAATTTCAAAAGCCTGAAATAATAATTCATCGAATATAATATTTTAGCTAATTATCTCCCCAAGCTCATGAGGTGGATATCATTAATTCTACTTCACACGAGGAAAACAGGACTCGTATCATGTCACGCAAGGCAGAGCTGGGATTTGAACCCTCCTGCCTCCCAGTGTTCGCTCTTAATGCCTATGCACAGGGAGAGGAAAAGCTTTGCTGTATATAATATTTATTCTTTGAGAACTTTCCAGCAAAACTGGATTTTCGTTGTAAAAATCCATTCAAAGGGGCGCCTGGGGGGCTCCGTCGGTTAAGTGTGGGACTCTTGGTTGCAGCTTGGGTCGTGGTCTCAGGGTGGTGTTGGGCTCTGCGCTCAGCGGGAGTTTGCTTCTCTCCCTCTCCCCCTGCCCCCCTCTTTCTCTCAAAATAAATCAGTAGATCTTTAAAAAAAAATCCATTCAAGGCTTTATGTCTTAAGTATTTTAAATTTTAAACAAAATTTTACTTTTTATGCTTAGTAATTATCGAAATTTATAACTCATTTTGTTGTGACCCGTTGTACACAAATAAAAATTGTCATGATAACTCAGTCCTGAAAAAATTTCTTCTCCTTTAGAGCCTTAAGAAACAGAAAATTTAATTGGTTAAAAAGTGATCGATAACCATAAAATTATGTAAGAGAAATAACGTGTACATCTGTATTCGAGAATAAAAAGAGGAATGATATAAAAATGTGGGCTATTAAAGTAGACCTTAACCAGATGTTTTATTTATTTATTTTTTTATTTTCTAAAGATTTTATTTATTTATCTGAGTGAGAGAGAGACCATGAGTAGGGGGAAGAGCAGAGGGAGAAGGAGAAGCAGACGCCCTGATGAGCGGGGAGCCTGATGTGGGGCTTGATGCCAGGACCCTGAGATCGTGACCTGAGCTGAAGTCAGATGCTTAACCCACTGAGCCATCCAGGCACCTCTTAACCATATATTTTATTTTATTTTTATTTATTTATTTTTTAAAAGATTTTGTTTATTTGAGAGAGTGAGTGAGAGAGAGAGCATGAGCATGGGGAGGAACAGAGGGAGAGGGAGAAGCAGACTCCCTGCTGGGCAGGGAGCCCGATGCGGGGCTCGGTCCCAGGACCCCGGGATCATGACCTGAGCCGAAGGCAGACGCTCAATGACTGAGCCACCCAGGAGCCCCTCAACCATATATTTTAAGAAAGGAAGAGGAGCGGATGTCAAACCACCATGGCATTTAGATTCCATTGCATACTTAAAAAAGTTTAATTTTATATATTTGTATATTAACATACATAGTATGCTTTATAATTATATTTTAAATGTTAATATTTATAATTCAATGGAAATTATGTCTTTTACAATAAATTAAACTTATGATAAAAATAGTTTACATGTCAACTTGCCGTTCTGTGAGGGGTACATAGCTTTTAAACATTTTTTTAGCGGTATTCCAGCAGAAAGACTGCTGTGTTATCTAACTGACTCTGTGCCCACCTTGTGGGTAGCTACCATGTTACACTGTCCAGTTTCAACTGGAGACACAAGGTCAGGGGAGTTCAGTGGTTTGTATAAGGTCACAGTCCTTATAGAGAATGGTGGAGTTCCACTTTGAACCAGTTCTGCCAGACTCCAAGCTTAGGCTGCATCGACCACACCACAGTCCCTGTCCCCTTTGAAAAGTATCGTGAATCCTTGCTACTCTAAGTGTGGTCTGCAGACCAGCAGTTTAGGCATCCTGAAGCTTGTCAGGCAGGCAGAATCTCAGGCTCCATCCAACCAGACCTTCTGAAGCAGAGTCTGCATTCGCAGGCATGTTAGGGTTTGAGAGGCTCTTCCCTGGAACGTTCTACTGCCTCCCCTTCTGTTTCTGTCCAGCTTTGGCCCTTGGCCCAAAGACCACTTCCTGGCGCTCTGGGATAGTCAGGTCCCAGCGGTCTAGTTGTCCCATCTTTGTCCCGTCTCTCAGCGTGTTGAGGCAGGACAGTAACTTGGCGCTCTCTTGTGACCCTTCCAGGCTCTTTGGTATGGACATCAAGGGCAGGGACTGTGGCGACCACGCAGCTCAGTGGTTCACCAGCTTCTTGAAAACAGACGCTTTCAGGCTGGTTCAGTTTGAGAAGCACATGAAGGGAAGACCATCGAGGGAAATTTTCTCTACTTCAGTACCGAATTACCAGGTGCGCTTCCAGAGAGCTGCCCTTCGCTTCTGTCAATCACCCCTCTGTGTCCAGCTTCCTTCTTGACCCACAAAGGGGGTCCCCAGTTAGGAGAGTGTAAGAACGGCCCAGGTGAGGGGTCTGAGGGCGCGTCCTGGGCAGGTGTCGGGGCTGGAGAGGGAAGTGGCTCCGAGCGGAGCAGGCTCTCCAGCATGCGTGGAGGATAGATTGTGTCTGGACTGTGGAGGGAGAGGCTGGGGGTGACCCCCAGTGAGATGGGGACTCAGGAGACACTCACGTTGGGAAGTGAGAAGTTCATTTGGGACTGAACCAAGGGTCTTAAAATTACCGAAGCCGACTTTCTCCTGGGGCTCCCTTGGCCATCAGTCTGATTTGGCTATATCAGGCACCTTCTCAGGAAGACCGCCCTGTGGGGCAGCTGCAGCCAAAGCCCAAAGCCCTTGATTCTGCAGCGAGCTAGGGTTTAAAATGCCAGCACCTCCTTGAACCACAAGCTGTGTGAATGCAGGGATTTTCACACTGCTGTTTGCCCACTTAGAATGGTGCCTGGTACAGAGTAGGTGCTTCATACATAGAGTGAATGGGTGCCATGTGGGGAAATGGGGACCAGAGCATAGCTGATCAGCCGCGGGTCCTTCCCCTGTGTGATGATGATGTTGTGGGAAGGGGGTCAGGGCTGGGCGCTGGAGTGAGGACCGGGGAGGGTCCTGGAAGGTGATGTTGGCCCTCAGCCCTTGCCGCTGTCTTTTCCGAGTGGCGGGGGAGCCCCTGCGAGGCCCAGCGGCGGGAACTGGTCCGGCCCTGACTCGGCCGGATGCAAGACCACCGTGTCCCCTCCCCTCCCCGAACACCACTGGCCCTCCCTACACAACCCCTCTGGCCTTCGCTTTGCTTTCAGCTGGGCTAGGGCATTTCACGGGGCAGGGAGGCCTGAGGGTGCCATGTCCCTGGTGCAGGTGGCCTACCCAGACTGCTGCCCGATCATGATCCTCTCGGAAGCCTCCCTGGCGGATCTGAATACCAGGCTGGAGAAGAAAGTGAAAATGGACCAGTTCAGACCCAATATCGTGGTGACAGACTGCGATGCTTTCGAGGAGGTAAGAGGCTTACCGCTTTTGTGCATGAAGCTCAGATGTGCTGTTCAAGACGCCCACAGGATGGTTGTCCCTTTACCCAGCCCCAGCTCAGACCCTCCACGGTCAGCTGTGAGGGAGACTGTCCTCCCCCAAGAGTCACGTGAACCTGGGAGAGCCGGCCACTTACTGCTGCCCCTGTCACCCTGGCCTCAGGAGGGCGCCGCTCACCCGTTCATGTGTGGGCCCCAAAGCAAGCAGTCAGAACTCCAAACTAGATCGAGTCAGGAACTAGGTGAGAATGTATCCTTATGGCTCAGAGGTAACTAAAGGGAAATGAAGATGAAGAGAACAGCCAGGAGTGCTCAAGGATTTGAGACTCCTGGAAGGCCCAGATGCTAAAGTGGAGGCCAAAAGGATACAGGAGATCTGCCTGTGAACGGGGCCCTGGAGAGGGTTCACGCTGCGGCCGAGTTCAGTCCCGGAGGACCCACATGCTCTCCTGTGTGGCTGACGGCAGGAATTTCTACCCTCTCCAGCCACAGCCCCTCGTAGCCCTAACAGGACACCCACATCAAAACCCAGTTGTCCTGCGATCTGTACAGAAATACGTAACTGTGTGTTGCTTTGTGCTAAGAAACATCGAGAGTCCTGTTAAACATTGGGGGTGGGCTAAACTTTATGAGCCTGGAAATGACCAAGGCAAATCCATTCACTGTGTGTTTACTGGGCACCAGACACAGAACTAATGTATTACTTCATGCAAATCCATTCATTGTGTGTTTACTGGGCACCAGACACATAACTAATGTATTACTTCATACAAATTAATTCTATTTGATCCCGATGACAACCCTATGAAGTCTGTATTACTGTCTCCTTTTGATAAGGAAATTGAAGCTGGGGGGCCTTACGCACTTGTTGGACATGTGATTGGCAGTTCTGGGATTAGAACCTCAGACTTGCACCTCTGGCTCCTGAGGGAGTGAGGGCATGCTTCCAATTTAGAAATCCCAAGTAGCGAACTCTGAGGGGAGAGGCTCTCCATTCTTTGCTCCCTTGGGTGGCCACCTTTCCTTTGGCGTGAGTAAAATGTGCCCTTATTTGCTGATAAGTGCCGTCCTTTAGAATAAACCTTTGCGGGGGCACCTGGGTGGCTCAGTCAGTTAAGCATCAGACTCTTGGTTTCAGCTCAGGTCGTGGCCTTGGGGTCGTGGAATTGAGCCCAGAGTGCTGGTGTCTATGGAGGAGGCCGCACAGGAAGGGGCCCCGACGTTCTCGGGCAGTCAGCACCTTGAGGGAAGAGACTTGATTTTTCTCCCCAGGAATAAATCCCAGGTTTGGTGGGACTCAAAGTTAATACAGTGTCGGGGGGGCCTCCTTCAGAAAAGACAATAACACAGCTGCAGGGCCTAGAAGGGGTCAGGTGCCAGAGAGGGGACTAGCCTGCCCGTCCCCCCTGCCCCCCCACCCCTGTGGTCTACTGGTGTGCATAAGCGTGGAATCCTTAGACGCTTGCTAAACACAAATAAAATCGGTGCTCGATGTTGTTGATGCAAGTGGCTGAGATTTGGATTAGAAATTAGTCCATAAAGCAAAAACACCTTCACAGAAATCCTGTAATTGCTCCACTATTTTCTGAGAAATTTTCTTTTAGGGAATACATTTTTTCTTGATTTGTCTCCACTGAAGGTCCTAATTTTAGTAAGATTTTGAGCCAAGAGGAATAAGAAGAAAAGCTACTCCTTAGCCAGATTCCTGTCGAAAGAATTTTTGCTTTCCTGGAATTTGCCAACTAAGAGTTTTTGCTCTCCTGTAACTTGTCAAAGTAAACCTAAGGCTAATGTGAGCCTAATCATGTTCTCTTAGGCAATTTGAGTGGGTGGAGTCTTGTTTTGTTTTGTTTTGTTTTTTAATTAAAAAAATGTTCAGTCACCTTGAGCTCTCTGTTTTAATTCCTGCATCATGATGGGCTTACTGAAATAGTAACGTAAGTAAGGCAGAATACTCTTATTTTTCCTCTGGTTGTATACATTTAAAAAATGTATGTATAAGTCCTCTTAAGTATGTATGTATGTATAAGTCCTATAAAATGTATGTATAAGTCCTATAAAAAATGTATAAGTCCTCTGGTTGTATACGTTTAAAAAAAAATCCTTCGTGTAAAATGATGCTCATGTTGCCGATTTATCTTCCTTGATATTAGGAAGGCCAATAGTTAGGGGCCTGATGCATTAACCTGTCTACCCAGGCACTGTTGTAAAACTATAACCTTTTCAATTAGTGGGACTCTATTAAATATTGATGTAAAATGCTAATGTACGTAAATATTTAATAGACCAACTAATAATAAAAAAATAGCGAATCTAAGCATGGTGCAAAGAGTCCGGCCATTTTTTTTATTGCAAAAATATAGAGCAATAGTAGAATGCATTGTGCAACATTTGCTCTTCATGACCCAGTACTTGGTACTTTTTCCATGTAACTCAGAATGTTAAGCAAGTTTTAAAAGGTGGCTTCCCTTGGGCCAGTGTAGTGTGTGTGAGTTCGGGGAATACAGAGCAGTGGAGTTTAAAAATAATACAGTTGACCAATGCTTCTTGTCTGTGTCCTTGGCCATTGCAGGAGTCAGGGATCAGGTGTTTCCCGAACTTTGCTCACTTTCCTGGTACGCAGGACTTAACTTTTTTTTTTTTTTGGAATATCTTGTTTGTATCATTTCTCACTCTGCAGTATGAAAGAACTGTGGAGAAGCTTGCAGAAAACCTTGGGTGTGTTATCTGTCACTCAGGAAACTTCAAGAAACTTCTAAAGAGGGTAGATCTTGAAGCCAGGCAGCTGTGGTTGGACTCCCAGGCCCCTCACTCTCTGTGTGCACTGGGTCCTCTCAGTCCTATCCTTTGCAGCTGTTGAGAAAGAAAGTTTTTGCAAACCATTATGACCAAACTCGCAGTCCCCCAAATCGGAGTGGGGTCGAGTTCAGATTTTACTTGGGCGCATACATGCGTGCATTGGAAGTCTCTGTCCTGGAATAAGAACATCATCTCTGCCCGGGCTTCAGGGATTTCTGAAGAAGCAATGCCAAGGACAGCATATAAAACAATAACAAAGTAACAGTAACAGCCAAAGCTCCCAGTTGTCAAATGTGCATTATGTCCCAGGCACTGTGCCAGGCATTTTGGTACAGCATCTGACTTCATCCTTCTCCTTACCCTTTCCAAACTGCAGGTCATAACCCATTATTGGGTTAGAATTTCAGTTCTATGGGTCCTGACCAGCACTACAAAAATAAAAAACAAAAAAAGCAAACTAGAATAAAAGGTATCAGAGTTATATACATAAAAGGTATGTAGTAAGATGAAGACTTGTTCTGTGGGCTCCTGGGGCTACAGCAGTCCTTGGCATCCTCTGTGCTCAGTGAAGTCACCATCTGTCACCATATGGCATTATGACCATCTTTTTTTTTTTTTTTAACGATTTTATTTATTTGTGAGAGAGAGAGAAAGAGTATGAGTAGGGGGAGAGGCAGAGGCAGAGGGAGAAGCAGACACCCCACTGAGCAGGGAGCCTGATGTGGGGCTCGATCCCAGGACCCTGGGGTCTTGACCTGAGCAAAAGACAGATGCTTAACCAACTGAACCACCCAGGCGTCCCTAAAAGTAATTTTTTAAAGTACCACTTCCTTTCTGTAAAGAAAAACTTGAAGGAATAAAAATCCTTCCCCATCCTACCGTCAAAAAGTAGCCTATGATAACATTTTGTTGTGTTTCCAGTATTATTTATGTGATATTGTACGAGTAATATTGAATTCCCCCATTTTCACTTAATGGTAGATGGCACACAGCTCTGTCTTTACAAATTCTTCATTAGCATAGTTTTTGTGGTTCCATATTAGTCCATCTTTGAACTCTGCCGTAACTTACTTAGCCATTCCCTTAGAACTGAGCATGTAGGCTATTTTCCATTTTCCCTTACATAAATAATGAACAGCTTTGTAAAACAGTCTTTATCTACATTTCTCAACTTATTCTTAAGAAATGCAAAGTCAGAATTTTACGGGCTTTTCATATATATTGCCAAATGGATTTGCAGAAACCTCGTACCAATTTATGTTCCCACATGTTGAGCAGAAATGCGCCTTTTGTCTTGTACCCCGGCCAGCACTGATGCCTATAATCTTTACTAAATCCGGTAAGTGAAAAGTCCTGTCTCCTGTAAATTGGTAATTCTTTGTGTAAGGAGTCTTGTGTTAGTCAGTCTGTGAAGGAAGTTTGGCCTTGAGGCAGAGTTTTACTTCAGCTAAGGAAACTTAATTCCAGTGTATAAACTGCAAGTTTATACACTGGCCAAGGTTCTAGAACACTCATGCTTACAACAGACGTTTATTGAGAGTTTGCTGGGTCCTAATCTCTGAGATAGATGCTAAACTTACAGAAATGAATTCACTGTGTCTGCCTGCAAGGGTCTGAGGATGAAGCAGGATTGAGGGCTCAGTAGCTGGAGGGTTGAGGGACGTAACCTCACTGGTGGGAGCCCAAAGAAAGGAACGCTTAGCACAGGGTATGTGTGTGTTTGTGGGAAGAATGCCACAGGATTTCTTGAAACGGAGAGCATTTAAATTTTGCAATAGGGATTAAAGAATATTGTTTTGCCTGTATATCTTAAAAACAGAAAAACAATTTTTGGCTTTGAGATAGTTGAACTGTGTGGTGTAATGGGAAATACATATTTGGCACTTGTCCCCTATTACAGCCCCTAAAACCCTTGGAATTTCCTGACTGATGGGATGGAAGTACTTTCTATTATTAACAGAATCCTATCAATCATACCTGAGTTATGCTAATGAGGTGAGTGGTAGGGTTGGGGGGTAGGTAGCTTCAGGTTGGAAGTAGGTCACCAGCAAAACCAAGCCTTGACTGGAAATTTGGAACTTTCAGGCACACCACCCGCCCCACCCAGGCCTCCAGGGAAGGGAGAGGGGCTGGAGGTTGAATTCAATTGCAAATAGACAGTGATGTGATCATCGTACCTAAGTAATAATACCTCCATAAAAACCATTAAAAGGCTGGTTTTGGAGTGCTCCTTGGTTGGTGAAGACGTTGAGGTGCTGGGAGGTGGGACCATGGCTTGGAAGCTCTGTGCTCCTTCCCTCATACCTTGTCCCCTGAATCTCTTCCATCTGACTGCTCCTGAGTTGTATCCTTTATAATGAACTGGTCATAGTAAAGCACTTTCCCGAGTTCTGTGAGCTCTCCTGGCAGAATATCCAACCTGAGGAGGGGGTCCTGGGAATCCTCGATTTATAGCTGGTTGACCAGAAGTACGGGAGAGCTGTACACTTGGCATCTGAAGTGAGGGGTGGGGGGGAAGTCTGTGGGACCGAGCCCTTAACCCAACATAGGGTGTGTGTAACTCCAGGTGGTTAGTGTCAGAAAGGGATGAAATCACAGGACCTCTCTTGGTGTCAGGGAATTGCAGAATTGGTGTTGGAAACACACCATGTGTTTGGTGTTGGAAAGAATCTGAGAAACTTCCTATATCAAAATGATTTTAAAAATGTGTTGTCGGGATGATAATGCTTCTGATAAAAAAAAAAAACAACACAGAAAAGGAAAACAAAAAAATAAAATTTATAAAAATACTGTTTAAACTTGAGGAGCCTTCCAAATATATTGCTATAAATATATACTCATAGCTGTATATACAGGTTGTTTTTTTTTTTTATATAAACAGACTTATTCTCCATATAGTGTGTATATATATATGTGTGTGTGTGTGTGTGTGTGTGTGTGTTTTCTTCACTCAGCAACATCTTGAACATTATTCAGTTGATAAATAAAGACTCACATCCTCCTTTCTGCTGCCCAAACAGTAATCACTCTCCAAATGGGCCACATGTAGTTAGCCAGCCCATAGTTCATGGCTTCCCAAGCTCACGGTAATCTTGTGGCCTCATTGATACCAAGGATTTCTAAACAACAAACTTGTTTATTTACTTATTCGTCCTCTCAGTTTATCCCAACATGGCTTAAATAATCATTGAACGTGTGACATAATCTATTAAACTTAGGAGTAGCAATTAGAGAATCCAGAGCAGGGTACGGGGAGGCACGGATCTTGGGGCTGAGGTTCAGGACGTCGAAAGGCTCCAAGGATGGCAGGAGACCCTGGCCCAAGGTGCAGGTGCCCAGAAGCTCTGTAGCTGTTGGTAGGGTAGGACTGCTGATCCAGTCTGTGTTCTTCAGGATAATTCCTTTGATAGCCCATGGCAACAACAGAGAGCTCCGGGTTTTGCCTTCTGTCTTACCCTCAGATGTCTTCTTGTCCATCTGTGGTGCATGGGTGTTCAGGAGTGCACCTTGGCCTCCCTTCTCACCTGGTGCCCCCCCCCACGTTCGTGTATATATTATTATATGTATATAATATATATAATATGAAATATATGTATGCACACATATACAACATATATAGAATATATATACAAAGATGGAATAGATGTATTCTATTCTCTCTCTTTAAATATATGTGTACAGACTATATTTGTGGTGTGTGTGTGTGTGTGTGTGTGTATACAGAGAGAGAGGGAAAGGGAGGGGGAGAGAGAGAGACTTGAGAGGGGAGAATCTCCTATCATACATTTAATTCATTGCTTGGTAGGTGCCTGTCTGGACTCTAGTGAAGGTGTCAAAGAAGCAAACACCCTCATCTGCACTGTTCTGTGTGCTCCACAATAATTGCCCCAGACTCTTAATTAATTAATTAATTTATTTATTAATTAATTATTTTTTTCCCCAGACCCTTAATTTATGTCTTTCTTTGGATGCTACTTGTCATGGGAAACCATGTAATCTTAATTTAGTGTTTGCCAATGTAAATGGCAAATTCATAGTAATTTCCTAGGCTGATTCCACAGAGCTGAGCCCATTGTGTACCGTGATCTCTCCTTTCTCACTGCCTTTCTTTCTTCCTTTCCTTTCTTCTTGCACCTTAAAAACTCCCTGGTTTTACCCCTTCACCGTAAATAAATGTCTTAGGGGCCTGGATTTTGCCAGACTGCAGAGAGGCTGCTCGCCAGCAGGGGGAGCAGTCAGCTCTTCTAGCTGTTTTCTGTGTTTAGGGAAGGCACTGGAACCTTGCGTGTGTCTGGTAGAACCTAATGGAAAATTGAATTTCATGCATTTTTAATTAAAATGAACTTTTAATAACTTAAGGTATTTTATTATCTTCCTCTAATAACTGAATTAATAATTACATTTAAACGTAATTCGCGTAGTGTTTTTTACTGCAAATAACGCTCTGCGCCAAAATGCCAACCGTGATCAGATTAGGGTGAGTGACGTTATTATATAAAGTGATTAATATTTTTGGAGGTCGTTAGAACTGCAATTTGGGGAGCTTCAGACAGTTTCTGTGAATGCAGACAGTTTGTTACTCTAAACTGGGTACTGCCGTTCTCTAAGAGCGGAAGAGCAGATTACCTCTGTTTTATTAAGCTAGGACACCTAATGGAACTTTTCAGACTTTCCTGCTTCATGCCACAGTCACAAGGCAGAGTTTCCACAGATCTGTGGCTTTGAAATGTGAAATTGATGATCATTTGTGCAAAGCCATTGAAACGCAGGTAGTTGGAGAGCTCTGGGGCGCGGATGGGCTCGCATTCCTGTGGCCGCAGCGCCCTCGTGTGGCAAAATGCATCCAGCCTTTGCCACGGCCCCCAGGCCAAGGCTGCACGTGACCCATCACTTCCCCCTGCGGGATCCCTATTACTGGTCACACTGGGGGGAGGTCCCATTCCGCCGGCTGAGCCACCTGCTCTGGTTGTGTTGCATATTTTTGCCGTTTGCACAGGGCTTGTAGTAAGTCCTGGCTGGGATATAGAAATTCCGTTACATGGGGGTCCTTGCCTTTTACAAGGGCAACATAGTCCGTCCAACAACCAGTTTGGAACACAGATTTTTCCACACAGCAGCAGTTTCATAAATGGTGGTTGGGAACCCAGCGCGTCCACAGAGACCTTTACCGCGGCTGTGCTCCTATTCCGAAGGAGATTTGTGAGCTGGGAAGACCCAGTTAGGGACTGGAGTATCTTTCCTGTGTTGGCTAAATCACCCCTGTAGGCCCTGGGGGTTCGTGTACCCCTGGGAGAGAAGCAGGTCATCAGAGGTGGAAGGAGAAACATTATGTGTTAGCCACCTCCCCCCCCCCCCCCCGCTCTGTCCTGCCTCTCCTGTCCCCGGGGGTGGGGGTGGGGGTGTCAATAGATGCCTCATTTCCTCCCTTACAGACTGACTTCTCCCCAAAACCCTTAGACCCGCCCCAAACCTCATTTGGGTTGAGATCAGGAAACAATTTTTCAAGGGACACTTTTATTGCATCTGATTATAGGTACTTTGTTGGTTTCTGGAGCCTGGAGTGAGGCCCCTTCCCTACTACCTCTCACCTCTCCCCCTGAGGCCTGGACGGGGGTTGTCCTGGGAAATGCAGATCCCACAGAGGGCTTCCCTATTAGCAAGAGAGTCCTATAACATACCCTCCTTAAATATGTGTGTGCATGTCTGTGTACATAGGTGTATGAATATGTATATCTAGGCATATGTAATGTAATCTATATGATCTCCATATGTGTGTGTGTATGTATATATATGTGTGTGTGTAGACAGATAAATAGAGACAGAGATAGATTTAAAAGCTGGGTGGTTAGAAGTCCTGCCTTCAGAATCTGAAGTTTTCAAACCTAGCTACTATGACCCTGAGAAAATTTTGTAGTCTCTCCAGGTCTTGGTTTCTTTGTGCAAAATGGGGATCGTAATAGTACCCTCTTCAGAGTTGTGAGGATTTATTGAAGCCCCAAGGTGGGTGTTGGCAGTGGCCGCCGTTTGAGGGCGGGAACCCAAAGCACCGCCAGGAGCTGTGGAATGCCAGCCCCCCCACCCCCCGCCCAGGGCAGGCTGCCAATCTGTGGAGGTGGGAGTGTTGAATGTGTATCTCCTACCTGACTTCCCGTGGGTGATGCCCCATTCATCAAAGAACTGTCAGATTTTAACTTGGCTTCCGTTGTAGCTTAGCTATAAGAACGCAGTGGGCTTGTCTTGCAAGCTAGACATTTTTCATTATATATTAGTAAATTGGCCATAAGTTTGCCATAAGAATCATACATTAACTACGGCGAACTGCCCGGCAGAGAAGGTCTGTTCTTGCTTTGCTGACAGAGTCGGGTTTCTGAGACAGTGAGTCAAGAGGTGGGTGGATCCTGGACTCACCCATGTGCCGTCTCCCTTTGTGTCCCTTTGGGAGATACTTCCTGGGGTCTGGCTGTCCTTTCTTCTGCTAGCCTCATAGTTAGGACCAGCCAAAGAGTAACCTGCTTTCAAGACTAATGAAGCCTTGATTCAAAAGATAACTTTTCCTTTCCTCCTAGGATACTTGGGATGAACTCCTAATTGGCAACGTAGAAATGAAAAAGGTTTTGTCTTGCTCCAGGTAAGGATTCTCTGAGAGTCAACCTCTGGGGGGTGGTGGTGTGTTCATTGGTCCCTAACCACCACCTAATCATTGGTTCTTGAATGGCAGGTGCATTTTGACCACTGTAGACCCAGATACTGGAGTGATAGACAGGAAGGAGCCACTGGAAACCCTGGGGAGGTAAACAGCAATGTGTCCACTGTGTTTTTAATACTATCTCCATCCCAGAGCTACCTGTGGGGGTAGGTGCCCCGTCCGAGCACCTTTCACTCTGTCTTCTGATTGGCATGTGTCTGTGGGTAAGTTGCTTCCTCTTTTTTTTAAGGATGGATCTTCGAGTGCTTTTGACAGATTTTTCATTGCCTAATACTGTGTTTTGAAGTTTTCATATCTCTCACATCAATTTTTAATAACATTCACATGTGTATGTCCACATTAAGACCTCAAATACTGTAATTATTTTTACTGCACCTCAGATTTCTTTATTAGACTCAACATCAAGGATTATGAGACTAATTGAAGTTGCATAATGAAATATTAGAAAAATGGAAATGTAACCAGTTGTCAAGAGTTTATTTATTCGCGAGTTTCCTTTGGGCCCAGGTGTTTTGTTTTGTTGCTAGCTGACTTTAGTTATCAATAGAGAATGTGTTTTTAAAACTTAAGTCAACATTTTTGGGAGATATATTCTATTTTATTTTCTTTTTCTCTGTTTTGTTATTTGTTTCCAATGGTTTTGAGTTTTAGAGAAGAGGTTATTTCTTGAAGCCGTCGGATATGCAAATCTATTTTGTTTTTTGATTTTTGAGATGCAGTGAAGTTAATTTTTTTCTCTTTAGACAGGCCTTTTGAAAAACATTAGCTTCATCAGTAGTCCAGCCCCATGCCAGTCATATCTGTATCTTCATTTTTGTTCACCAAGAGCCTCAGCTTTGGGCTTGTAAACTTGGGGGGAGGGGGGAAGCGTATTACTTTCATGCATTGGGCAGAAGGTTTGGAGGGGTGCCTGGGTGGCTTAATGGGTGAAGCATATGACTCGATTTCAGCTCAGGTCATGATCTCAGCGTCCTGGGATTGAGTCCTGCATCGGGCTCTGCGCTCAGCCTGTCTCTCAAATAAATAAATGAATTGACTAAAAAAAAAGAACTTGGCGAGTTCAGGCAGTTCCGTTTTGAGATTGTGTGAGCATTTGTTTCAGGGGGTTGTGAAGTTAGGGGTATACGTGCAAACATATACCACTTACTATTTTTTTTAAACATAACACTTATTTTTATTATTTTTTTAAGTTTTTATTTATTTTTATTTTTTGAGTAACACAGTTTTTTCAAACTGAAGCCATGGAAAATTGTTCAGACTCTCAGGATGCTCCTAGAAAAACCGGGATTATGTGTCCTTTGCCTACTTGCGCACAGACCCCTCCATCCACGTTGTAGAAGAGGCTTCCTATTTATGATAGGTCATCTGAGAATGAAAACTTGAATTCTCTTGAGAGCCCTTAAATTCTTATTTCCCTTTTGTGCCTGATTATGAATTTTTGCTTCTTTCAGCTACCGCCTGTGTGATCCTTCCGAGAAGGCAATATACAAGTCGTCCCCACTTTTTGGGATCTATTTTTCAGTGGAGAAGATCGGCAGCCTGAAAATTGGTGACCCGGTGTATCGGCTGGTTCAGTGACGTGGTACGTGGTTCAGCAAAGGGCTGGCTTTGCTGCTGGAATGCATTGCTTCAAGACCACTGCCGCGTCTTCTTGCATTGAGATGTGTTTACATTTTGCTGCTTTAACTCTTCGGAGGATGAGCGGTTTGTATTCTGCTCTTTGGAGTTGGAAAATGCCTTTTATTTTTCTTCCCTCCACAATCTGATTTATTTCACCTAGGCTTCCTCTCCCACTTCCCATTCAGTTATAAAAGGCTGATGCAGGAGCCCCAGCAAAAGACAGGTAGATGTTCTCAGTTCATTAAGAAATAAGGAAATGAAGGTGAGCAGGTCTCAAGAGTTCTATATTGATTTTTTCTGTCTGTGATAGAAAAGTGAGGGGAGGGGCGCCTGGGTGGCTCAGTCGTTAAGCGTCTGCCTTCGGCTCAGGTCATGATCCCAGGGTCCTGGGATCGAGTCCCACATCGGGCTCCCTGCTCGGCAGGAAGCCTGCTTCTCCCTCTCCCACTCCCCCTGCTTGTGTTCCTGCTCTCGCTATCTCTCTCTCTGTCAAATAAATAAATAAAAATCTTTAAAAAAAAAAAAAAAGAAAAGTGAGGGGAAATGTTTTATTCAAAATCAACTTGAGAAAAACATTAAATACTTTTTATAAAACTTATTTTTAAAATATGATTTAAAGTTTAAGAAATATTAGTGTATCAAGGTGCCTGGATTCTGAATCATAAGGTAGAAAATAATGCTCTCACCTTGATTTCATCAGGCCAGAGACAACCCTGACGCCTGGAACATAATGCCCAACCCCCAAATTATAGAAATAAAATAATTTGGAAGACTTCGAATTGAGGTTTATTAAACAACTCTTTTCATAAAATCTATAACCCCAGTTCTGAAAGTCACCTCATGTCCGTAACTCTGGACCGTTGTTCTTTCTGATCCTGGCCTGACCTTCTCACCTTCCCGCTTGACCAGCTTTGAGGACAACATGGAATACTGGTCCAGACTGTCTAGATCCAGCATCAGATAGACTTGGGTTCATAATCTAGCAGCTCCTTTTCCTAACTTGGTTGAATTATTTAACCTCTTAGCCTTACTACCCTTATCTGCAAAGTGTTGGAATACGGCAGTACTCAACCAAACAATCATCACAGTTATTTTGAGGATTAATTTATATAAAGTTGCAGCATTGCAACAGAAATGTGAGGAGTCCGGATTGGGTGGGGGTGGGAACCATGGGCAGTGAAAGAATTCACCCAGGGCGGAGCAAAGGAGGGAGTTTATTGAATACACCGCAGTGGAGCTGTAAGGCAGGACAGAAAAGAGAGACAGTAGGCTAGGAGGCGGTGGTGAGGGACTATAGTTATAGGGCAGAGTGAGGAGGTATGGGGACATTGGGAATTTTCCCATTTTTGGTAATATTAGGAACTGTGCCTGGTTGTAAGTAGCCCATTGGTTAGGTGGGGCCTGTGGGTTAATGAGCCTGTCTGCATTCAGTTTTCTGGTCACTGGGACCCTTTTGTCATGCTCAAGCTTCCATAGCTCAAGCCTGCTGCCTAAGAACAGCCTCTACAACGAACACAGAAAATGCTCAATAAATATTAGCCGTGATTTTTATTGTTGTCATTGTAGAGGGGCTCTTAGGAAAACTACGCGGAAGCCAGCAAAGGGTAAACATTCTTACAAGAATCAGCTCTTGTGAATCTCTGCCCGTAGTGCCCAGTTGAGAGAGAAAACTAAAAGTTCACGTTGTCCCTTCCTTTCCAAATCCAAACGCATTGTTTATGGATCTTTCCTGTCCCGAGCTATTGCCTCTCTGCTTGTCTCGTTTTGTGTAACTGGGCTTGGCTTTCTGCCTGTTTGGGACTTGTAGGTTGTTGGTTCTTTCTTTTGTCTGTCTTTGGGAGTGACTCCAGCTTTGGGGAACTTAATAGCTTTTGCACCCTCTTTGAGGACCTGTTTTATGCCCAAGCCGAGGTTATTCAATACTGCCAAAAACATTTAAAATCTGGAGCGCCTGGGTGGCTCAGTTGGTTGAGTGTCCGACTGTTGATTTTGGCTCAGGTCATGATCTCAGGGTCCTGGGATCGGGCTCTGCGGTGAGCGCGGAGTCGACTTGAGATTCTGTCTCCCTCTGCTTCTCCACTCCCTCACCACCCCCCGCCCCCGCTCATGCTTTCTTTCTCTAAAATAAAATAATAAAAATCTTA